TTCGATTCAATATACTCATGGAAACATTGCGTACCTGCTCCCAAGGTGGATTGTGATAAGAGATTAAATGTTATTAAATGTTGCTTTTTATTAAATGGAGTGAACAGTTTGAATTCTTAATCAAATAATTTTAGGAATTAATTCAGTCCAAATTGGATTATGGGGCAGTAATTTATAATTCAGCTTCAAAAAGCATATTTAAAATACTGAATCCAATAATAAAGCACCAAGACTTAATCGACGAGCAGTACTCGTCGATTAAGCCTTTGTGCTTTTAGAACTAGCCCAGGCAGAGCTTACCAGAGGAAGCAAGATAAATACCACTAGAACTTAGACGTTATCTACACTGTCCAAATTATGAATATTCAACTTTTAGTGTCTCTCCCAATCCCACAAACTCAATTATTTTCCAACATCCAAAAGTAACCGTATATGAAGCACATCCACCATTCCCACTAACCCCGAGATAAATACTTTCTAAATACATGGAGGACTTCAACTTTGTTTAACCTAGTCGTATAAATCCCATTCCACATTGGCAAGACCGCAATATTATCATAAACTCTGAACTAGCAAATATTCCTTACCATTTCACGGAATTTAATGCAAATGTGCAAGATGCTCTAAAAGAAGATAAGCAAGAAAATAAATGCTCCAAAAGGATGACAAATTTTATCAAGTTTACACTGACGGATCCAAAAGAGAAGGAAAAGCTGGCTGTGCAGTAATTCTAACAAATGATAGTGAAGTAAACCCATAACACCTCCCGGACTACGTTTTCATTTTCTGATGTGAAACATGGGCAGCACTTAACCCCAATGAATTCAGAGTCGAATCATCAAATAACGTGCATTTTGTCATCTATTCCGATTCAATGTCAACTCTTAAATCCACTGAAAACCGATACATTAGTAAACCAATAATCCAAAATATTTAACCTCATATTTACCCAAAATACTACAAGCATCAAAATAGAACTAGTTTGGATTCCTTCTGTTAAGACAAGTATTGAGAATGAGAAGGCAGGCACAGCTGCAAAAATGGCAACATTTTTAAATGTCGAATCTCAAATTCTTGGTACACAGAAAAACAAAAAAAAACTTTTCAAGGATTCCCTTTTAAAGTATAGGAACTCACAATGGAAAATACAGTCATAAAAACTACATCAAGTAAAAAGTATTTTGGAACCAGGTTTTCTGAAATTGAACTACAAAAGAAGAGAAGAAATCATTACAAGACTATGGATTGGACACTTTAACTTGAATTTCTGTCACCTGTTCAAAAAATCCAACCATGAACCCCGTTCTAACTGTGATGCTAAGTGTCTACTCTCCATATTATTCTTGAATGCCCAGGACTTGAAAATGCTAGGCAATTACTGAAAATAGAAGGCAGCCTGTATACACTGTTCAAATGAGCAAACAGTTACATAACAATTCGCAAACTACTAGAAATAATTAAATTGAAGAATGTAATAAAATAATGATACAATAGTTTAATTTGTTTCACATATATGTACTGATCAAAGCACAATGAGGTCGCTAATGAACTGAGTTGGTATACAGCAACCATAAATAAATTTAAAAAATGAAAACTGCCTTGTGTTGTTTAATTTTTAGCAAGTATGAAATCTTATGTCATGTTATTTAAAACAGAGGCGGTTGAATAATTTAATTTGTGCAACAATAGAGATTCTTTAACAATGAGAATTATAGTAAAACCAGAGCCGTCACTGCTATTCCTAAACAAAAACTGACGTTATCAGAGACTTAAGAGCTTAAAGAGGTGGTGGAAATATGATTGATTGATTTTTCCGGGCACGTCAATTTCTATGGTCAGTAGTTCCGTTGGCGTCGTGAGAGGTGTCGCGAGAGGTTGCTGATTCCCGCTGAACGAGCATTTCCCATCCGCCAGATTTCTCAGGGCATTGCCCTAGCCTAGGCTCCAGGCTCCCGACTGGTATCCCGACAAGTGTGGTGGTGTAGTGCAAATAAGTGGAAGTGTGTGAGTGAGGGGAGTCCTTGGTCCGAGTCGCTGCAGAGACAGGGACAATGCTGGCTGAACTCAGCCCGTGCTGTGAGAATATGGAAAGTGGAATTCAGTTTAATTATTGTTTTGGCAATTAGCTAACTATGCTTTGATTATTAACATTCTTTTAATTATTAGTTTGCTACAATATACCGGACGTTCTTTTTACGAGGGCACTTCAACTAACATACAAACTCTCAAACTTTGCAGCATTTGAACTGTTTTTTCTCTTTCACGCCACTGTATTTTCCAAAACATCGTGATGATTCTCAAGAATGTTTCAGGCTGCAATTCAGACCTCGAGGAAACTTCAGAGCAGCCATGAAAATGACGTAGTGTTATGTGCACTTTGTTATCGGATAGCATAAAGAACGCTTAAGAGAATGGTGGTAGTATCATGTTCGTTGAAATCACAGATTTTTTTGAAAACTGGAAAAGAGCAATTGTTTTTGGCGTCTGCATTCAACTATAATATTGAAGATTGAATTTTTTTCTAAGTGAACTTTCTTCCTTAAAGACGGATCTTTAAATAAGTTCACGTTAAATGTTACGAAAATATGAGTCGTTTCCGTGTAATTTTGCGTGAACTATAGACAAGTTTTTAATTTTTTTAAATCATTTTTTTCGAACACCGTACTGAAACTGTTGGGAAATTTGTTAGGGGCGGAAGATAATGACTACAATTGAGACACATTCACTAAAGTACTAATAAAATAAATAACAAATTTTATCGGAACATTGCGACCAAATAGAAAGAAAGAATCCAATGACGTTGTTCAAAGAAAACTTCAAAAGAGAGATAGCGTAGCTGCTGAATGCAAACGAATAGTTGTTCAAAAATGGAAAGACCCGAGAGATGATCTTATCATTAGCACAAGATGCATAGATTAAATGGGGTTGCAGTAAAACCGAAAAGGCGAGTTATTGAAAAAACAAAACGTATTGTCAATTACAAATACAAATCTTATACTGATATTTCAGACTAACTAAAAAGCCACAATTCGTCACTAAGGAAAGGGATACAGTGAAATAGAAAATTAGCTGTTGCGATACTTCATAGTACTGCTATTGTTAATGCAATTCACATACATCAACAAGTTGCAAACGAAAACATTCATAAAAAAACTTAGGGAAATGATTCTTTCTGAATTCACTGGAATGCGAGTTGCGCCTAAGAATCCAGATGCAACAGGCCACTCGACTTGAAGATCTGGAAGGCGCAGGTTTGTCAAATGCTACGATAAACCGACAGCATAATTTTATAGAAACTATGCAGACTACACAAACAACCCTATAATATACAATTTGCGCAAGACACATTTGTTTACAGTTTTTATCAATCATACAAATTTACAGTATAACAAATGAGGCCAGGTATTTGGCGGATTCAATTATATGCAAAATATCTGCATTCTTTTCACATAAATAAAATTGATATTGTGAAAGAAAATAATTTTTCCCTCCAAAATCCAATCGCTTCGAATAATTACACGTTGTGCTATTTACAGACATATAATACGTCAAGAGTGACGGTAAAATACGTACGTACGTTACGTTGTCAATCATCGATGTTATTGATGTATATGTATTGTATATGTATGGTATATGTATTGTATATGTATTGTATATGTATTGTATATGTATTGTATATGTATTGTATATGTATTGTATATGTATTGCATATGTATGGTATATGTATTGTACATGTATATCGATGTATATGTTGCCAAACATCGATGTTAATAATACATCGATCTAAATCCATCGATGTTTTTCTATGTCTGAATGTTTGTTTAGTGAACTCTGTTATGGTTGCGCATCCCTTTGAGTTGGCGCGCAAGGGACTTCTCTAGACGAGGCGCGCGGATATAGAGTCTATATAGGATATAGGGTTCGCAAGCGTCGCACAGGAGTCCGGTCCACAGTCAACCGCCAAGAAGCCTACGGTCCGGAGTGCGTAGCGAGCCAGCTACGGAGCGCTTTTCGAGCGCAGAGTCGGGAGGCCGTGGGATCGCCCGGGGCGGGCGACGCGCGCCTGCGTGAGCGGAGGCTGACGACGGGTCGAGCCGGGAGGGGCTCAGAGGCGACGACTACGTTGGTGCGGGAGAGTGGCCCAACTGGGGCCGTCGGTGACGGCTGTGCGAGGGCTTATGCTCTCGGAATAAATCATAACTCATTGTCTTATATTCATGACCATCTGTTAAATGTATTGGATAAGTAAGTATCTATTAGGTTGTTTTAAAATTAATGGTTTATTGCATGGTACAACGTTTCTCAGACAGATTTGTCTGTTTCTTCAGGTGCATCACTAAATAATAGCGAATAATGAATAATACTAAAACGACATAAATGTTTAACATAAATTTTGTATTTATAAATAAAATATGATAAACGGAATATATATATATATATATATATATATATATATATATATATA